GACGATGAGTGTGTATATGTCCATGAATGACTGAAAAATTGTGCTGAACACTGGAATTTGACACAACATTGTAAAATGATTATAAATCAATAAAAAATGTTAAAAAAATAGAACTACCATATGATCCAGCAATTCCACTTCTGTGTATTTATCCAAAGGAAATTAAAACACTAACTCAAAAAGATACCTACACCCCCATGTTTATTGCAGCATTATTTACAATAGCCAAGACATGGAAATAAACCAAATGTGTTGATGGATGAATGGATAAAGAAGTGGCATATCTATACAATGGAATATTATTCAGCCATAAAAACAGGATCTTGCCATTTGTGACAACATAGATGGACCTAGAGGATATTATGTTAAGTGAAATAAGTCAGACAGAGAAAGATAAGTTTTTGTATTAAAATATATTTATTTTTATTTTATATAGTCTATTTTTCTTTTACTGCCCATTTTTAATTGATTTTATTGATTGATGTCTTTTATTTACAATGTTGTATTAGCTTCTGGTGTATAGTATAGTGATTCAGCTATCCATATAAAAATGTACATACTCTTTTTCATTACAGGTTACTACAAGACATTGAATATAGTTTGCTGTGCTATACAGTAGGACCTTTTCGTTTACCTATTCCATACATAGTATTTTGTATCTGCTAATCCCAAACTCGCAATTTATTCCTCCTTCCCTCTTCCCCTCCTGGTAGCCATAAGTTTGTTTTCTATGTCTGTGAGTCTTTTTCTGTTTTGTAAATAAGTTTGTTTGTGTGATTTTTTTAGATTCCACATATAAGTGATATTTGTCTTTCTCTGATTGACTTACAAATCAATATTTGTCTTTCTCTGATTGATTTACAAAATGAATACACAGAAATCAGTTGCACTTCTATAAATGTATAAAGTAACAGAAAATAAAGTATCAGAAAGAGAAATAAAGGAAGGAATCCCATTTACCATTACATCAAAATAATAATAAAATACCTAGAAATAAACCTACCTAAGAGGCAAAGACCTATACCTGAAAACTGTAAGACATTGGTGGAAAATTGAAGATGACACCAATAGATCAAAAGATATACTGTGTGCTTGGCTTGGAAGAATCAGTGTTGTTAAAATGGCCACACTACCCAAGACAATATACAGAGACAAGGCAATCCCTATCAAATTACCAATGGCATTTTTCACAGAACTGGAGCAAAACATGTTAAAATTAATATGGAAACACAGAAGACCCAGAATAGCCAAAACAATCTGAGACAGAAGAACGGAGCTAGGGGAAATCACACTCCCTGAGTTCAGACTCTCTGACTTCAGACTATATTACAAAGCTTCAATAATCAAAACAGTATGGTACTAGCAAAAAAAAAAAACAGACACATAGATCAATGGAACAGGATCAAAAATCCAAAAATAATCCCATGCACTGATGGTCAATTTATCTATGACAAAGGAGGCAGGAAATACAGTGGAGAAAAGACAGTCTCTTTAATAAATAGTGCTGGGAAAACTGGACAGCTATATGTAAAAGAATGAAATTAGGCATTCTCTAACACTATGTATAAAAATAAACTCAAAATGCATTAAAGACATAAATGTAAGACCAGATAGTATAAAACCCCTAGAAGAAGACATGGGCAGAACACTCTTGGATATAAAATGCAGCAATATTTTGTTTCAAACAGACTCCTTGAGTAATGGAAATAAAAGAACCTGGGGGTCACTAGAGAGGATTGCTGACATTTCTGCAGCTGAAGTGAGGACATGGGCAGTGTCAACAAAGTGTACTTTGTAAGCTTGCATAGCACGTGATGGACAACATCACAAAGGGCACTTCCTGGGAGACATTTCTAGCAGAGGAACACTCAGCAGCTCCTCTTCCAATGGAAGTGCTCCAATCCCACTTATCACACACCCCAGCTCAGCAATGGCTCTGAAAGCCTTTATTCCAACAACAGGGGAGCAGACCTGGCACCTTTCAGGGTTGTGACAACGACAGAGGAAAGAGGACCCTACTCAACAACCAGGGCAGGCTCTGGTCAGCAAAACAACTACATCCCCAATCAAGGGGATAACAGTCAGCACACATAGAATAAAGACATGGCAACCATCCATACTAAAAACGCCCCAAAACAACAAAATTATTAGATGTGCACTGTCTACACAGGGATGCTCCCACTTAAAAAAAAATAGCCCTTTGAGACCACAGTAGATAATTGTTACTCCTAAGTTCGTAGAGTTAGAGAAACATAAGTAAAATGAAGAAGCAGAGGAACTACTCCCAATTAAAAAAAAACAAAAACAAGAAAAGTCCCCTGAATGAATGAATAATGAAATAGACCTCAACAGTCTACTAGATCCTGACTTCAATAAGGAGGTGATAAGCACACCGAAGGATTTATGTCTAAGGTTTTGTCTATCTTCTCTTCTAGGAGATTTACGGTATCTTGCCTTATGTTTAAGTCTTTAAGCCATTTTACATTTATTTTGTGTTTGGTGTGAGGCAGTGTTCTAACTTCATTCATTTACATGTGGCTGTCCAGCTTTCTTAACACCACTTGCTGAAGAGACTGTATTTTCTCCATTGTACATTCTTGCCTCCTTTGTTGGACATTAACTGACTGTAAATATGTGGGTTAATTTCTGGGCTGTCTATTCTCTTCCTTGTCCCTCATATCTGTTTTTGTGCCGGTACCATGCTGTTTTGATTACTGTAGCTTTGTGGTATTGTCTGAAGTCTGCGAGGGTTATGCCTCCAGCTTTACTCATTTTCTTCAGTATTGCTTTGACAATTCTGGGTCTTCTGTGAGTCCATATAAATTTTAAGATTATTTGTTCTAGTTCTGTGAAAAATGTCCTAAGTAATTTGATAAGGATGTATTAAATCTGTGGATTGCTTTGGGTAGTATGGCCATTTTAATAATATTAATTCTTCCAATTCAAGAACATGGACTATCTTTCCATTTCTTTAAGTCATCTTTAATTTCCTTAGTCAGTTCTATGTGTAGTTCTCTGTGTAGAAGTCTTTGACCTCCTTGGTCAGATTTATTCCTAAGTATTTTATTTTTTGGAATGGGATTTTAAAAGCGATTGTTTCTTTATTATCCTTTTCTGATATTTCATTGTTAGTGTAAAGAAATGCAACTGATTTCTGTATGTTAATCTTGTATCCTGCTACCTTACCAAATTCTTTTATCAGCTCTAGTAGTTTTTGTGTGGAGCTTTTAGTGCCAATTTTACCTCTTCTCTTCCAATCTGAATCCTTTTCATTTCTTTTTCTTGTCTGACTGCTATGGTTAAGACTTCCAATATTATGTTGAATAAAAGTGGTGAGAGTGGGCACCCTTGTCTTGTTCCAGATCTTAGTGGGTAGATTTCAACTTTTCACCATTGTGTATTATGTTGGCTGTGGGTTTGTCATAAATAGTTTTATGCTGAGATATATTTTCCCTTGAAATGCGTTGCAGACATCTAACACTCAACATATCCTCCTCTGAATATACTCATGTCCTGTATTTACTCTCTGGGTGAATGGAACTTTCATTCATTCACTGGCTCAAGATAGATTCCTGGACAATATCTCAGGTTCTTTTCTTTTCCTTATAGCCCACATCCAGATGGAGCCTAAACCATGACAACTCTACTTTCTCAACGTCTTTCACAACGTCTTTCACTTCTTCTAACCATTGTTTTATAAGAAGCTCCAATTACATCATGGCAGATTAAATGAGATAGCTGCTCTTCCTGTTACTAGTTTGATCCATGTATAGATACTCAAATTTTGTTTCAGCCAGAAAGAATATTTGCCTTTTCCCAAACTCAGGATGTTATCATGACTATCGCTGTCCCTGGAGTCTGTTATTTTTCAGTAAAGAATGTATATATGTCAATGCTTCCAGCTTTCCTTCCATGCCCCCCACCCACTTGTCTGTCACCTCCTCCCTTAGGGCACCGACTCAGTGATTAGGTCCAGAAATACCTTTCTGATATTTTCAGTGATGCTAATGCCATCAATTAACACAAGTCCAGAGGTTGTGGTCTCCTCTCCAGTCAACATTTTGAATGTAGTGGTTTTTCCAGCTCCATTTAATCCAAGTAATCCAAAGCACTCATATTTTTGGACTAAAAGGGAGATATTTCTTACAGCCTTTACAACTGGACACTTATAGTAAATCTGAGAAAATTAAAAATGAACCACATTGTAGTAAAGCACTGATTACAGTCAGCCACAACCATAACCTCAGACCCCTGAGGACTGCTACCTGTGGGCAGTTCCACAGGAGCTCTTTTCCCCTTCAGCCATCTCTTTTACCAGAATATTTACATAGATCCCATAAAACTCCAATGAATTAGTAATACTACCAATACAGTCTTGGCAGGGAAGGTGGGCTAAATCTTAGGGCAAGGTTGGACATTGAATGATTTTACCTTTGTAAGATCATTAAGAAGTAGTGGGGCACGCTTCAAATTAGTTAACAGTGTCAGGACTCTCTTCCTTTCATCTTCTACATCTTTATCCTCATATTCCTTGGTTACTTGGGTGGACACTGTAGCCTGTAATTTCAAGACAAGGATCACAGAAGCGAATAGACTTCAGATGTCTTGCTTTAAACTGTGTTTCTTTTTGAAAGCTGACCTGATGGAGTAATCTCAAAGATGTCAGAAAATGTTCTTAGAGCTTTCCTACCGATTTCCTGAAACCTTATGTTCAAAGTTGTTCCTAAATTGCTCAGTTTTGGAAACTATAGTCATGAACAAGTTTTCTACAGCTATGAGTAAGCAGTATATCCTTGCCAGTAATATGGGCACTTCGTGGAGAACAAAGCCACCTTGATACTATTAATTATTATATAGTGTGATTTGTTACATATTAAAATATGTTCAAGAGACCATGAGATCCAAGAGAGTAGAAGAACGAACTCCTTCTTTTTGGAGGATAGGCCCCTTAGAGTCGAGGTCTGAGCTGATTTTGAGGAGTAAATAAAGATATACTGAGAGAATGAAAGGAAGGTGGTGATGGAAGAAAGGCTGCCATCAGCAGTGGGAGCTTAGTGAAAGATGTGTAGGAATGAAACCACATGGCATGTTTTGTGAATAGTAATTTGTACTGTTTGAGCAAAATTTTGTTGTTTTGATTGCTTGTTTGTTGCTTCAAGTACTCATTTGATGGTAGTGGTTAAGGAGAGATAGTGCAGGAGAATATAATCAGCTCAGTAAATATGCTAATCAAAAGGGTGAAAAGAGAGCTACTTTATGTGCTTTTTTTCTTTTCCAGTCTCAAAATTGGTTGAATGGAAGTGGTAAGAGTGAACATCCTTGCTCCATTTTTCAATTTTATGGGGAAAACATTTAGTATTTCACTATTACATTTAGTGTAGGCTTCATGTGTAAGTAGATGCCACTTAACAGGTTAAGGTATTTCCTTTCCTTGGTTTGCCAAGTTTTTTTTTTCAATCATAAATGGATGTTAAATGTTGTTGAATGCTTTTGTGCAATAATTGATAAAAACGTGATTTTTCTTCTTGAGATTATTAATACTGCAACATTGATTTATTTTCAAATAGACGCCAAAATCCTCACCAAAATTTTAGCAAATAGAATCCAACAACACATAAAAAGATTA